TATGTACATACATATATATACATGCACATATATATATGCTTCCATATGTATATATACATATATATATGTATATATATACATATATATATATATATACATATGGAAGCTCGTAAACAACTGAGCGACAGCAGTTAGCGACTTCACTCTCAGTTCTCTTCTTTTTTATTCCTCTTTTATTTTGGTTTTGTTTTTTTTAAAAAAAAATAATAACGCGATTTAATTAGTATAATTTTCTTCGCTTCTCGATGACATTATTGGATTTTAAAGATTGATGAAAAACGTTTAATAACCCAAATTTGAGGTTCGCTTATTGGTCCAAATGGAATTGCATTGGTTCTGTATTGTATTCTGATAATTTGATTATAAAGTGATTACTGATTTCTGGAGATTCGATTATTCAACACTGTTGCTATCAGACGTGGTGGTACCCCGTCTGTGAGAAAGTATCTGCAAAAAAAAAAAAGAAACTGAAGTCCCGCGTGGCAATTTCGGTTTGTTCGAAAATTTTCACGACACTCATAATCTGTTAAAGCGTTTTTAATAATCTGCACATATCTGCACATAATCTGCACATACGTATTCTCAACACACGGTACAGAGAAAAAATGGAGCACAGTGTTGTGCGTCACTGAACTTAAATTTTTTACAAATCGATGAAAAACAGCTTATAAGATTTTGCGCTCTTTTTAACTGATTTTACGATTGCGAAAATCTGATCAATAACTAAGAACCGTTTTCCAAATCGTGCCTGCTCTCTTCTTGAGTGTTTCAGAAATTTTAAAGATACAGACTATGAATATCCCCGGTTAAGAAATTGAAAGAGTATGGGGGCACGAAGCCTTCTAAAAAAACTTCCGTAGGACTTTCTGTCTGTGAAGTAACTACTTGTATTAAAGGCCTGTACAGATAAAATAAAAAGCAATAGTTACAAACGAATTCGTGATCGCTCTTTTTACACACAGCACCTCTAGATTTTTTCAAGTCAACTGAGGTTTTTTTAAAGTATGAGCACCAAAAAAGTCGAGCATTAAAACGCACTACAGACACTTTTGTTT